TACTGAGATACTGAAAGGTTGTATATCCCTTTACCTACTTTTTAACACTTGGTTATTTTGTGATACATAAAAATATATAGTAGAAGACTAATATCCAAGGCTAGGGAAAACAAGGGATAGGGGATTGGTCAATGGTTGGAATCAATCACAAGTTTGTGTGGGGCGGAGGGGAGGTAAAATGGAGGAGTGACCAGTATGACAATAATAGTCAAAAATGATCATGCAGGATCCCATAAGTTTTTAATAGCACGTTGATTAGACTCCAGATTTCTGAGATTTCCCCATCTTTTGCTTTGTGAAAGATTTATTATAGTGAACTGAAAAATCACGGTACTCCCATTGTTCATCGATTTGCTCGAGCGGGCCCAGTAACGTCTCTGTCATGAGACTTGTTGCTACTGTGTTTGGCATATTAAATACGTCATGGGTAGCTTGCCAGGCTCTGCCTTGCGGGCATGATACTCTCGGTAGCTTGCCGGGCTCTCTGAGAGGGGCGGAGGAATCGAACTCGGGTCAGCCATGGTGGCCGCTTGTAAGGCAAACCCCCTACCGCTGTGCTATCACTCCAGCCTGATCTGAAAAACATACGTAATATTTTAATTTCCTTGGCTTCATTGACACTTATTTTGTGCACCAGCGTATGATTGATCTGCCACAGATACTGCAGTAGATAATAAATATACATTTGTCTTTCGGGGGGTGGGGAGTTCAGAAATCTGTATTAGTCTCTACTCTCTCAGCATTACTTAAGGCTGTTGTTTTTTTATTGATTTTCTGTTTTGTAATTTATCCAACCCATTGGGGCGTTAAAATTTTCTACTACTATTGTGTTGCTGTTTATGTCTCTTTTCAGGTCCATAAGTATTTGTTTTATATATTTAATGTCCCTTAATTTGGTTCATGAGTATATATTTAGGAGTATGAAGTCCTGATAAGTAATGAGTAAGATGTACCAATACACTGATACTTTAACTATTATATAATTTTCATTCTTACATCTTATTTTTAATTTATGTTGTCTCAGTATAAGTGACCCCCCCCGTCTTTCCACCTTTTCCCCACTAATGGTCAGTGCTAGTAATTGAACCCAGACCCTCACACTTGCAAGGGAAGTACTCTACCAGCCTACCCCTGCCCTGTTTAATCTTTCATAAATCTTCTTTGTTTAATATTTAATTTCATGTAAGATTTTTTCCAACCCTTTGCCTTGAAACCGTGTTCATCATTAAAGTTCAAATATGTTTTATATAAGCAGCAAAAGGTTGCCTTTCATTTCCTGATCTGCGTCGTCATTGTGTGGTGTTTGAATGGTGAGTTCAGGCCATTGACATTTTGTAAAATTATTGACAGAAAACAATTTGCTGAGCCAGAAGATAGCACAGCAGGTAAGGTGCTTGCCTTGCAGGCAGCCAACCCATATTTGACCCCAGGTATCCCATCTGGTTCCCCAAGACCCACCAGAAGTGATTTCCTGAGTGCAGAGTCAGGGGTAATTACTGAATACAGGTATGGCTGCCCCTGCCCCAAAAATACCTCAAAAGAAACAAAACAAAGTAACTTGTTATTTGAAATTTGTCTTTGTCTCTTTGATCTTCTCTTATTGTCTCCCAATGCACCTTTGATCTCTGCCCCACCTGCAGTCTTGACAGGCCCATTACAAAGTCCAGTGATTGAAGCTTAGATATCATGCTCTCAGTGTTACTGAGTCTGTGCTTTGCATGTATGGTGATGCCACTCTCCTATATCACAGTCTGTTGGGAGCCCCAGCACTGTTTCCCCCATTGCTTCCCTTTCTCATCTTCCTTCACCCTTGATTTCTTTCCTTCTCTGTCTTTCTGCTTCCTAATCTCTGGGGTCAGGGGTGATCAAGGCCTCCCCCATTTGCTACTTTGCACTTTATCATCCAGCTGTTCTATACGCTACAGATTGTTGATGCCCATCCAAATCATGAAGTTGAGTCCTTGGTCGCTGCCCTGCAAGCAGGAAGCAGAACCAGGACACCACATAGCACTAAGTGGGCGAGCCTAAGCTTGAGAATCTGGTTGATATGGAAAAGGTAAAACTAAGCCTTTGTGGCCAGCAAATTCCTGCAGCACAAAGCAACAGCTTCCTCTTCTCACATTTCAGAGCTAGCTAAACTTTAGATGGAAACATTCTCTCCTATTCATCACAGACCCCAAGTGTGAGGAGGTCATTACAGTTACAGTTACAATTACAGTTTCTATTAACTGTTTATGTTTCTGTTTCTGTAACTGATTATGTTTTCTAACTGACTATGTTAATTTACATAATCTTAAACTGTTGAATTTCATTGGACATAATTATAACAAGCCAGCAAATAAAAGGAGGCTGAAAAGACTGCTCTTGGTCACAAGATCTGAGCAAGTCTTGTGATCCTCCGTGAACAATTAATTTCTCTTGAATTCCTTTTCTCAGTGGCTCAGATCGCCTAACCAAACGTCCATACAACATTTGACGCCCAATGTGGGGCCCAAAGATAAGGGCCAGTTTGGGAGAAACCGAGAGGGAAAATGTTGCACCGACCTTGCATAGCCTCTCGGCAGATTGGAGAAAAAAGGAAAAGAGGTAATGGGTAATTCCATAACATCACAGCAGGATGCCTATATTGACATCCTGAACTCTCTGACAAAACCAGCTGGTTTGCCTTTGAAGGGACAAATAATGTGACTCCTCCTTGAAAGGGTACATAAGTATTGTTATTGGTTCCAGCCCAGAAATAGAGATCAGTTCAATTCAGAAATGTGGAAAAGGGTAGAGAAATAATTGCGTCATGCACATAAAAATGGAAACTTGATCTCAGCAGATGAATGGAGCGCATATAATTGTATTGCTGCTACCCTGACTTCTTTGCAATCTGACTCTGATCTGAGGAACCTTCTCTCTCATCTTCTTGTATGGCTCTCTCCACTGTTTCGTCAATTTTTTAAGCAATATATAGAGAAACTCCTGTGTTAGAGGAGCAGAGTGGGGAAGAGCCCACCTACATTTTGTGCTAAACCAGTGGCATCTATATTACCTGGTGATTCATATCAAATTGATAATTCACCTGCCTGGCCTGAATCTCACAGCTTTGGGTCAGACACTGACAACTCTGTTTCAAAAGAAGTAGTAACCCGACAAGAATTGAAGGCAGTAAATTTAAAAAATTACATCAATTACTAAGACAGATGCAGTACCCTGAGGTGAACCGTGATTCTAAAAGAATGGTAATGACTAACTTATAGGAACTCACTAATCCTGATCCTCTGGCAGTTCCTTTTCCTCCATTAAATAAGAATAGGGGAGAGGAATCTCTATGTTGCCATTTTAAGTTTACTCCTGAGTTGTGTTCTCTGATGCAAGAATCTGAAACACCTTTATATCAGGCAAAATTGAGCCAACAGCATGCTCAGTTTGTGGCTTTTCCAGTCATTTGTAATTCTGATGTAAAAAAAAATGGCAGGTGGGTTAATATGAGCCTGTTCCTTTTAGGTTTCTTTCCTCGCTTAAGCAAGCTGTAACCACCTATGGTGTTACTTCTATGTGCTGGCCCTTCTCAACAATTTTGTGGAAGCTAATACTCTACTCCCTCTTGATTGGCAGACTCTTGCTAAGGCAGTGTTAGAAAATTCTCAATATATACAATTTAAATCATGGTGGAGAGAAGAGACTGAGAAATTTGCTAGAATTAAGACACCAAAACATGTTGATACCATTGTGAACCAGATTTTAGGCACTGGCAAATGGGCTTCAGCGGAAGAACAAGTCAGCTTGGAGGCGAACATTTTGGAAGCCATCAATAAGACCTGTCTGAAGGCATGGCGTTATCTTGAGATCTCTGCAAAACGTACTATGCCGTCCACTAAAATTTTTCTTTTTTTTTACCTTGATTATTTTTTTTCTTTTAAAAATAATTTACCTTCTTTTGCATGCCACAGGACAGATTTCTAATTTCAAAACAGGGTACATCAAGAACAAAAATCTCCCTCCCCAAACCATCTTTATTTTCACCAATAGAAGAAATTCTTCTGGAAACATAAGCAAGGGACTAAGCAGGTATTGAAATCACTGAATCTATAAGTTAATACATAATCTGTTATGTCAGAATAACCAAGAATTTTTCCTCAAAGAAAAATTAAAACTTTCCAAATATAAAAAAGTCCATGAGGATCATATGTGAATTAGCAGAAATCTCTCATTCCAGGTTTTATGATAAAGATGAATAATAAAACACTGACAGCCAGAGAAAGCTGAAACTCTTACTAATAAATAGGCCCAAGTAAAGAATTTCTACAACATTTCTTTAGAAAACAGAACCAGAATTCCTTTTTTGAAAAATAAGGATCCTGTGGAATGCCTTTTCTTCCATTATTATCTAGTATAACCATAAAACAGACACAAGAATTGAAATGTGACAACAGCTCAACAATATGGATGTAGGAAATTTACAGGTACACTTGTTTCAAAGTCCTACAGTTTTATTGACTAAGGCTAGACAGCAATTCATATGATCCTATTTGGTGCATTTCTACCATGGTCCAAGATCATTGTATGGATACAGCCACGTTTTGGGCCCCAACTTTCAATAAAAAGATCACCAAGAAGAAAATCAGGGCGGCTATTTGGGTCTCCCCAGTTGAGAATTTGTGTCCTGGAAGTTGGAAAAACAAAAGGTGGAAAATACAGAGACTGCAACAAGTTAAAGGACTTGGAAAAAGTTGGTGGAGATTGGCACGTTATACTAGTAAAGTCATTGGGCTTGGGATAGCAAGGGCGCTGCATTGAAAGAGCATACACGGGACCAAGTATTTATAATGTCTTGTGGGGTCATTTCCTCAACGAATATCTGTATGTGACAATAAATGGCTCAGTTATGTAATAAGGCAGTGCGTTGAATATGCATTCGTCCTGTGGAATGAACCACCACAGAGAGATACATGACACCATACATATTATTTCAGTTTTCTTGTGTTGTGTTTGATTTGTTTTTTTTTTTTTCAAGGCTATCCAGGATAACTATTCCTGGGGATTTCCTTGGAGAGAAAAGTGGTCCACTGAGGCTGGTTTGCTTAACCTCTCCTTTATCAAGAGATGATGACTGGCTTTAAAGAAAAATAAAGCTGAAAGTTGTTCGATTTTTATTTTTTTCCCTTTTGGTTGCAACATTGAGTGTTTTCATATAAACAAATTAAAAAATCACAACAACAACAACAACAAAAAACCAAACCACCAAAACAATAGTTTTTTTGATGCATCCAGTTGTTGTATCCTCAGGATGTTCCAGATGTTTCCAGATAACTCTGTAGTTTACGTACTGTGGTTTTGTCCAGCGAGCAAAGGTCAAAATCAAATGTTGTGTTTGTGATATGAAAGTGTCCAGTTTCTTCTATAAGGTTCACAATCTGCTGCAGAATGTGTCTTTCCCTCAGCGTCATTAACCTTCTGTGGAGTTCTGCCAGTTCATCTAGGTATGCCTTGTCGCATTCACCATTCTTTATTTGTTTATCTGATTTGCTTTGCTTTATTGGACTTTTCACTTCAAGAATCTGGTTGTTGTCGGTTTTTAGTAAGGGTGGTGGGGGTTCATGATGTAGGGATGAAGAAGCAGAACTGCTTTCACTGTCTCTGCCATCGCTCAAGCTAACTCTGCAACTACGGCTGCCTCCTCTATTTACAGGCCTTTCCATTTCAGAGTCATTATCATTCTCCTCTGCCTCATCTGATTCCTCCTCATTGTCATCAGAATGCAGATCTTTCATTATAGACCTTAAAGGACCTTGTTTCCTGGCCTGGGATGGTGTGAAGCTGGAGCTGGAACTGGAGCTGGAGCTGGCAGGACTGGGTTGCTCAGAATCAGATTTGGAGGACATATTCTCCTCTGCGTCGGAATCATTGGGATCCACTATATCATCAAAGGGTGGTAATGTTTCATCTGGGAGATATAAAGTAACAAAATATGAGATTAATACCCAAGAATAGCTGAGATCAACACCAGGAAGATTACTCCATAGCTTAGAGGCCAGCCGGGTATTCTAGGGGAAAGGGCAGTTCAGATAGAGAAGGGAGCACCAAATAAAGGGTGTTTGGAGGATCCTCCCAGGAGGGGAGATGCATGTTGAAAGTAGACTATGGACTGAACATTTTTGCCACTCAATGCCTCTTTTGCAGACTACAACACCCAAAAGGAGAGAGAGAACAAATGGGAATGCCCTGCCACAGAGGCAGGGTGGGATGGGGGGGATGGGGGGGGCAGGGATATTATCCATGGTGGTGGAAAATGGGCACTGGTAGAGGGATGTGTATTTGATCATTGTATAATCAAACCCAAGCACAAAAATTTGTAAATCTACAACTGTACCTCATGGTGTTTCACTAATAAAAAAAAAAGGTGGTAATGTTGATTTCTTCTTCTCTAATGGCTCACTTTCAATTTTGACTTTTCCCATGTTGACATGAGATTTATCTTTGATGTGTTTTTTGTCAGCAGAACAAAAGTATCAGTGGTGGCGCGTTAGAGAATACTTTTAAGTAAAGCCTCTGAGCTACTCTTTTTCCTTTTTTTCACTGAGAGTTCTTCAGAATCTGAAAGGGGGGGCCTTTTACTAGGAGCCTTTTTCTCTTGCTGTCCACTGCTGATGGTGAGTAAGTTATTGTTTGGTTTGGGCTCCTTGGACATGGGTTTCTGTTCCTTGAAGGCCATCTTCAGAACAATTTTTTCTTCTTTCAGTGGTTTATATTCTTTGGGTTTCTGGGTATTTGATCATTGTATGACTGAAATCCAAGCACAAAAATTTGTAAGTCTACAACTGTACCTCATGGTGTTTCACTAATAAAAATTTTAAAAATTTAAAAAAAAGATTCTTTGGAAGATTTGGTGTGATCCCTGGAAGGTTCTTTGAAGGCACTCATATATTCTCGGGAGTCTTTAGAAGGTTTTTCCTTGTGCTCCTTCATTAATTTGTGAGGCTTTGAAAAACTGGTACTGTTGCCACCGCCGCTGCTGCTGCTTTTGCTATTGCTGCTGGTATGAACGCTACTGTTAGGGTCCCCTCCTGCCGTCAGCAACTTTCTCCTAAAGTCCTCTGTGGGGTTGTTGAAAGTTATCTTTTCACAACGAAGGTGATTCACTGGTGGATGGCCTTCAAGATGCAAGAATAAGTCATAATCAAAGCGAACTTTCTTCCGTTCTTCCTTGTTTTTAAAATAAACCTCAATTGACAAAATGAAACCAGCATACCCAGATTCTTCTACTTTGTAAGGTGGATCTTCGCACACTCTTTTTGGCCTACGAAAGCTTTCGTGCAAGTGGAAGATGACTTTCTCCACAAAGTGTTGTATGTTACTGTGCTCCGGGCCACACATAAACACCATCCAGTCATGGGTGAAGCCCTCCATGGTGGGTTTCTTCCTCACCTGGGCGCGGTGCCCCAGCTCCAGCTTCACCTGCACAGCACACGAGCTAGTCATGCCTGGAGTCCCGGAGGTTTGCTGGGGTGTTGTGTGGTAGCCCCCTCCTCCGCCCCCCTCAGCTGTAATTCATGTAAATCATGTAATTCAGCTGCTATGAATGAGAGCGCGCCCAGGAGCGGAGGGTAGATGGCAGACATTCTCTGCCTTCCCCCGCACCCCCACGTTCGCCTGCTTGCTTGCTGGCTCGCTTGCTTATTAAACTCAGCCCCCAAAGCAAAAGCCTCACTAAAATCTTTCAAGAAGCTAATGAGCTGTATACAGATTTTATCGCCAGACTCCAGGACTTTCTGGTAAAAGTTATACCTGATGAGGCCCTTTGGGAAATGCTTATGTTAACTTTGGCGGTGGAAAATGCTACAGCAGACTGCCAAAGCAATTCAGACTTCCAAATTAATGGGTAAAAACTCTCTGGATGATATTATCCGAGTGTGTAGGGAAGTGGGAACACCAACCCATCAGGCGCAAATGATAGCCGCTGCTTTTAAGAAAGCTAATCAGGTGAAGTGTTCCAGCTGTGGAGCTGTTGTAAAGTTCAGATGAGACTGTACTTGTGCTAAATCTGGGGTAAAGAAAGAACCGGGCATTTGTAGATGGTGTGGAAAGGGGAAGCATTGGGCTAATGAATGTCGCTCAGTAAAGGATAAATTTAGAAATCTCCTAGATGAGCCATCGGGAAACGGGAGTTGGGGCTGATGGGGCCCCTTCAACAATACGGGAAATTTTCAGTAGAACACCAAGTTAAATTCGAGGATTTTCCATCCCCTACGTTGGTAATAATTGATAAACCTAAGAATATCGACAAAAATCTATCTTATATAGACCTGATGAGAGCAACAGAAGGATGTATAGCAGCTGACATTTTGGCTTTACAGGATTTGTTTCTGACTCCTAATAAAATTTATAAAATCCTGACTAATGTTTATGGCCCCTTTCCAAAAAGAACTGCAGGATTGATCCTAGGGAGAAGCAATATGATTTTGTGTGGTGTTAACGTAAAAGTAGGACTCATTGACAGTGATTTTAGCGGATATCAGAATATTCAAAGGGGGGCATATTGCTCAACTGCTTTTGCTTCCGTGTATACTAGGGGGAAATACAGGTATAAAAAGAGAAGGTGATTTTGGAAGCGCTAATGCAGAAATATTTTGGACAAAAAAGATTACTGATGATAAGCCTACTTTAGTCCTTAAAGTCCCTTTAAGGATCGGACAAAACCGGAAGGTTTGTTGGATTCAGGTGCTGGTGTTATTGTTGTCGCCTCTCATCACTGGCCTATGGTTTGGCAAAAGTGTTGTGTGGACGCTACTTTTCCTGGCATGGGTGTGGTCACTGATGTTAAGCAGAGTGTGCGAACTCTTCATTGTAGTGATCCTGATGGAGACACAGCAGTCATCCAGCTGTATATTGCTCCAATAGCCATCACCCTAGGGAGACGGGATTTGTTACAAAAACTTGGTGTGAAATATATTAAAGAGAGAAAGGTGTCTCAGGAATCACTTTTTTAATTTGGACCACTGCTCGAAGAACAGCTCTCCCAATAGTCTGAAAAAAGACTCAGTCTGTTTGGGTTGAGCAGTGGCCTTTGACAAAAGAAAAACTTGAGGCTTTGTATGAATTGGTTACAGAACAGTTTGAATTGGGACGTATTGTTCTTAGTTCTAGTCCCTGGAATTCAACTGTATTTGTTATTAAGAAAAAGACTGGTAAATGACAAATGTTAACTGATCTAAGAAAAGTTAATGACTGCATGGAACCAATGGGCCCTTTACAAATGGGCCTGACTAATTTGGCCATTATTTCAAAACAGTGGATACTAGGGGATTATTATAATATAATATAGTAGGTTTGTTACGTAAAAACTCCATTCCACAATATTAGTTCCTTGTACCAAAGGCCCAGTAGGAGAATGTGAAGTATGCAACACTATCAGATTTAAGTTTTCTGAAGAATCAATTCTACCTAGCTGAACCTTATTAACAATTTCTCCAATTAGTTCTAATTCTCGTTCAGCTGCTGGGTTAAGTTGCCTCAGGCTATTTAAAGAGGGATCACCTTCCAGTGTGTGAAACAAATTATTATAATAATTAATATTATTATAATATTTGTTAATAATTAACAAATATTATAATAATTATAATTATTATAATATTGTAACCAATTATTATAATTGGTTACAAAAGATTGTTTCTCTACTATCCCCTTAAGGGAAGAGGATAGAGAAAAATTTGCTTTTACTGTGCTTTCCTTAAATAATGAAACTTCTGCTAAAAGATATCACTGGACTGTTCTGCCTCAAGGGATGGTGAACGGTCCCATGGTATGTCAATATTTTGTTAATCAACCATTGGATGTAATAAGGGCACTGTACCCGAAGTCAAAATTGTTCATTATATGGATGATATTTTAATCACTGCTGCACCTCGAATAAATTTGCAGAAAGTTTGTGAAGCTATAACTTATGAAAAAGACTCATGGGGTTTAAAATTTGCATAGGACAAAATTCAACGTCAGGTTCCTTGGGAATTTTGGGGACAAATAATATGGGAGAGTAAAATTACGCCTTAAAATGTCCAAATTCGGAGACATAAATTAAAAACTTTAAATGATTTTCCAAAACTATTAAGAAATATGGGGGGCAAGAACCTGGCAAGCTACCCGTGAGTACTCGATATGCCAAACACAGTAACAACAAGTCTCATGATGGAGTCCTAACTGGGCCCGCTCGAGCAAATCGATGACCAACGGGAGGACCGTGATACCGTGATTAAGAAATATAAATTGGCTATGGTCTTCTCTGGGCATTCCAACCTATGACCTACAAAATTTGTTTCATACACTGGAAGGTGATCCGCCTTTAAATCTGTCACTGTCACTGTCCTCCCGTTGATCATTGATTTGCTCGAGCGGGCCCAGTAACGTCTCCATTGGAGACTTTGCTGTTACTGTGTTTGGCTTATCAAATACGTCACGGGTGGCTTGCCAGGCTCTGCCGTGCGGGCGAGATACTCTTGGTAGCTACTCGGTCGGCCATGTTGGCTGTGTGCAAGGCAAACGCCCTACCGCTGTGCTATCGCTCCAGCCCATCTTTAAATAGCCTGAGGCAACTTAGCCCAGCAGCTGAACAGGAATTAGAACTAATTGGAGAAATTGTTAATAAGGCTCAGCTAGGTAGAATTGATTCATCAGAAAACTTAAATCTGATAGTGTTGCATACTTCACATTCTCCTACTGGGCCTTTGGTACAAGGAACTAATATTGTGGAATGGAGTTTTTTACGTAACAAGTCTACTAAAACATTGGTTACTTATGTATATAAAATATCTCAAATAATTCTCAAAGGAAGAAAAAGAACTAGATAATTAATAGGGAATGATCTTACTGAAATTATTGTACCATTGACTAGTGAACAAATTCAAGTGCTATGGGAAATTGAGGAGGATTCGCAAATTGCCTGCACTAATTATTTGGGCAAAATTCATAACAACTTTCCAAAGCAAGAGATATTACAATTTCTTAAATTTACTAATTGGATTTGGCCTAAATAAAAGCTGAATCTATTGTATCCACTGTTAAATTCTTCACAAATGCTAGCAAAGAAGGAAAGGCTGCTCATACCGATATGCAAAATGATAAGGTTTTTACAAACTCCATATAATTCGGTTAAAAAAATGGTTTGCAGTTATTTCTCTTTTACAAAATTATTTTGAACCAGTGAATATTGTAACAGACTCTCATCATGCAGCTTGAACTGTCAATCATATACTTACTGTTCCTTTGCCTTTAAGTGACTCTGAACTTATTTATTTAAAGAGTTACAGCAAGTTTTGAGAGATCGTAAACATCCTTTACACATTACTCATATACGGGCTCACACAGGTCTTCCAGGTCCTTTAGATCAAGGCAATGATTGAGCTGATAAGTTGATTGCTTCAGTAATAAATGCTGAAAAATCTCACGCTTTGCGTCATCAGAATGCTCGTGCGTTGAAAACCAAATATGCCCTTACTTGGAGGCAAGCTAAAGACATTATTAGGCAATATCCTACTTGTCAGGCAATCATATGCTTCATATGCCTTTGGGGGCTAATCCTTGAGGTATAAAGATGAATGAAATTTGGCAAATGGATGTAACTATTATCCCAGCTCTTGGTAAACTATGTTCATCAATCAATTGATACCTATTCACATTTCCGATGGACTTCTGCGTTATCTTCAGAAAAGGCAGGAGCTGTGATTACTCATTTGTTAGAAGTATTTGCTATTATGGGCGTTCTTAAGACAATGAAAACTGATAATGCGCTTGCTTATACCTCCGCAAAAATGCGTGAGTTTTTCTCTGCTTATGGTATCGATCATATTACAGGAATTCCTTAGAATAGTACAGGGCAAGCCATTATTGAACAGGCAAATTGCCCACTTAGAGATATGTTACTTAAACAAAAAATGGGAGTATATACGGATTCTCCCAGATGGCAGATATCCTGAGCACTATTTACCTTAATTTTTTTAATTGCTCTGATAACATAACAGACGCAGAAAAACATTTGGGAAGTTCAAAATAGCTCAGAAGAAACAAGTTCTAATAGAATCAGAAATAATTCAGATAAAATTATTCAGAAATAGAAAGTCCTTTATAGGGACCCAGTCTCTGGGAATTGGATACCAGACCAGGTAGAAAGGTGGGGGCGAGGTTTTGCTTTATATTTCCACATATAAAGATCGTTTTTGGTGTCCCACCAAAAGACTGAAGCTTCTCAATTAATCACAATAAGGGACGGTAAATGAAAAAACTGCAGGATGGATCCCCTCTTTATAAATTTTTGCCAGCTTTATAAAAACAAAAGCGCTTTTTGACCCAATTTTAACAAGCAGGAGACAGGCTAGTTAGACTGAGAAATGGGATAATTCTAATTGACTGACAGGGAATTTTTACCCTGGGGATTCCCTTCCTTTCTCAGTCCATCAGTTTTTTTTCCTGGTTCTTGAAGGGTCAGATCA